AACCGGTGCGTGGAATTGTGTCGTGAACTCACAGCATCCCAAACTGTGCTGTAGTGCATGGAGCTCCATGGGGTTCATAGCCTTCTTTTGGCGGTAAGATCGCTCCTGTAGGAAAAATTTATACTCTCCTTAAGGGTGATGGCAGGGAACACCTGATGTGGTCTCTATGTTACGTCAACCGCTCCTCGAGAGGAAATCTGTGTCTAGCAGAAACTACTGTATTCATGTGGCATTCCCAGCGATTCAACAATTTATGCTGTTCAAGAAAACGAAATTCCACGCAGGCGGAAAAAAGACTACTGAAAGTCGGACCTAGAAAAGTAATCCATCACGTCCGTAGGTGTTTTCAATCATGTGAAAGATATTTGGGATCATTTGAGTAGTCGTCGTTTCAGAAAGGTTTGGTAACATTAGGTAGATTCAGTGTTGTTGTTCCCTTTTAACACAAGTGAGATGATCTGGGTCTAAAAGTACAAAACCCAGACATAGTAAGATTCCCAATCAGATTGTGCTGGCATCCCTTAATGCACACAGACCAATAAGCCTGCGAACGACACCCAAGAGGAATATTCCATGAAGGTGTCCTAGACCGGAGAAACAAGGCCCCGAAATTCGGACTAAAACTGAAGACATTTCCCCTAACCAGTTTATCGTAAGCGTTTGTCATCCACACTAACCAACAAACAGGAGCTTCCGGCTGACACCTAGGGCTGATGAAGTCGGCTAGTCTCAAGAAATCTCACCAATTAGTTTTCTGACTGCTTGACGAAGCTTTTTTGTCAAAGGCGAAACGTTACCAAGCCACAAATCCACGAGTGTTTAGCAAACCTCTCTGAAACGATAATCCACTACGCGTTTCACCCACAGTTTGACTGATTAACTACATGCCACAGAATTCCATTGTTTGATTGTCATGTCCAAAGTTCATACCCCTAACACCCAGTAGTGGTTAACCTCACTTGTGCACATGATATACAAGAACTAAAATTGCCTATTTTTTGGTAAGATGGACACTCAATTGTAAAGTAACGGGAGACTCAACTGAATCTCTCGCGTAGACACCATGCTAATTTGCAGCTTAATGTTTTTCTCAAAATAGGCAAAATTTTGTGTCCATGTATGAAATATGACTGGTAGAAGGAAACTACTCACAAGGCTGCTGAGTAGTTTCCTTCAGGAAAACTTTTGTCTTCTTCAGACCTGGTGGTCATCACACCCAATCAGAAGAGCTAGAATGTTCACGGTGTCAAATGTGGCTGTTTTAACTCATTTTCTGTCCCCCGTACCACGCGTTTGCGTGATCTCAGGAAACCTAAATTTGCGTCGCTTCCACCTAAGGTAACAAATTCGCCAAATGTTGACTACGGCTCATCTATCACCCCATGTGTGTGCTTCCAGTGCTGGTAGATTCCATCTTGAAACGTCAACACAGACAAATGCAACTCTAAATTACACAGCTGCCCATTCTATCAACGATTCGCTTCCATTAAGACTAGCGATCCACAACACCTGTATAACACGTAAAATCTTACGAAGCCAACCTAACGGTATGCAAAGTCTCAACTTGATCAGCCGTATCTCCACTTGTAAAGGTCAGAATGACGTGAGACAGGAGGCGAATAGTGATAAATCTCGTATATTATTCGATGTATACACTCGTTTGCAGACCACTTTGAGTTACACAGAATATTCACCCGAATTTCAGCTGAATCTCTCGTTTATGGTCAAATTTACCTACGTGATAAGCCCCAAGGAGGGCGAGATCGACTGTGGGCTGTCGAAGAGTTTCCAGCAATTTTATCACCCGCACAAGCACACAACGTATTTCAGTCCAGCTGATGGTGGACACAACTTGGTGCGACATCCACTTTTGACTGTGTGGACCTGTTCGGAGGTTAACTTGTACTTACCAAGTGTTTTGGCTGTGCATCATGTCGTCAGAATATCCTGTTATACTGACTTCTCGACAATCTTCACTCTTCTACACGTGACACCAGACCTTGCAAGACGATGTTTCGTGTCCCTTATTCGCATCAACAGAATGTCTTTCACTCTGATGTTCTTAATGATGAATGCATCGAGAATTCGGTGACCCTAAGAATGGGGTCCCGTTATTCGAGAGTCTCTTATTGAAGGGGCGAGCCGCATATCGGAAGTACACGATAAATGCTCACAGACAATATCACCTGCATGAAGGCTTGGAACCGCGGAACAGTGACTGTCAAAAGCGTGTAATTCTTCGCTAGTAGTATTAGGTGGTTTCAAATATAGCCAAAGTTATGGTGTCCGAAATCGGCTTATGAATGACGGTAAGAAACAACGCAGTACGAGGGTGAAGTTGAAACAAGTAAACTCGTAGTAGGCACCTAGAAGCGGAACGAAAGTCCCAGGCAAATCAGAATAGCTGACCTTTTGCAATAACAGAACCAATATGACTTAAACAAACAACCTGTGGGAGGTTGTAATAACTGACCACTTTGCTCGCGTGGGATTGGTCACGAATTAGTAAAGCGCTTATCACGTGATTCGCTTTCGCATCTTTTGAATTCAGCCCTACATCCAAATATACACGCATGTTTAGTGTTGGAGAAGCTGTCTCTGTTCGTTTCTCTCCAGTTCACTTTGTTATATACACAACAATGGCCGATACTTCACATGACACTGGCTTGATCGTCTGATATTAGAACCTCAGTTCACTTCTCGCTCTAATTTTAGACCGTTTCTTTCACTGTCCGGTGCATGCAATGTGCGCCTGCATTTTGCGCACATCCGACCGGTTGGATCAGCATTGAGTCCACCTTGGCGTCGAGATAATTATCCCACCCACTTGTTCACTTTTCACCACGTGTACTTTTGGTCTCCACATCTTTTGTTGCTCCGTACCAGCCGTTCACCTTGTCCGACATGCGCGTGTGTGGCTTACCTACTTGCACTTGCATGTTCGTGCCCTGTCTGCTAGGCCTGTTCTGACTTGTTCCGTCGTGATTTCCGTATGATCGCACCGCCAATCAGAATCGCGAGACTGGCCTCTGAAGGGACGATCGCAACCCACGCTAACTATCCAAGCTTCCTCTGGCCGACGTCTGATGCGCGAACCCTGACACTGCGTCGTGCCGGTCGGCGACAGGCCTGCGCACATGCTGACGCCACGAACCAGACAACTGAGTTTTGTCACTTTGCTTACATCTGTGTAAATGATATCGTAGACTTTCGAACCTAACTCTTCCTTTTAATGTTCACGATCTTCAGACGTACGCGACTCAAATATCGATACCTTAACAAATACTTTATCTTGGTGGAACACCTGTTTACACCTGTTTACACCAAGCGATTTGTACTTTTAACTCATCGTCCTTGAAGCATGCCAAATTGCACTGCTAATCGTCTTTCAATAGGTCGTTCCAACCCAACTAATTATTATTTTCCAATTGGCGCCCCGTAACCGCACCTGAAAAGCCAAGGTTAAATCTTGACTTGATAGCAGACGTCTAGGGTGTAGACCAAAATACAGCCAGTTCACTCAACAAATGACGATGATCGATCGAACGTTCGATCTGCAACTGAAACTACTGCGATGTTTATACCATGCACCTGATGGCTGGCACATCGACTGACGTTGATCAGATTGTCAACTATTCCACCCTGTCCTGCTTGCCACCGATTACCGCCGCACTGTTTTCGTGTGTCTGCGTGTCTGTGAGGCAGAAAACTCATGTGCAGTGTTTTCCGGTCATTTGGATTGGTGGCGCGCATCGGTTGAACAAGGGGACACTCGGGCACATAGGCATTTGAAAACAACTCGGCGTTCGTCGGTAGCAAGCACGACAGGGTGGAATGGTTGACACTTTGATCAAAGTCAATCGATTCCGCTAGCTACTATGTACGTTGTATGAAAATCGTACTGTACCTGATGGTCTCTGGGTGGACTAGTTCGAAATCTGCAGTGGAGAGTGAATCAGCAGTTGAATGATCCATCAGCTGGCGACTCTGATGCAAAACGTGTACAGTTTTTATTCCTTCTTGAAAACCAAGTGTGTATCGCACCTAGGATGACTGATGCCCGCGACCTTCTGCTTACTGGTTGAATGCGGTTCCTTTCGGACATGACTAACGAATTATTGCGATCAACGTACAGGTAGATGAAATTTGGTGTCGCCAACCTTCAACAGAGTTCGCGTCACGTGCTATCACTCTGGTGTATGTGGTCCGTCCGAACGGGTGGACTAGCAGCTTGCAACAACGTCGCTAGGTCGGCTTGACCGTTACGTACCCTGCATTTTGTGAGGATTGCATTTGCCTCTATCTCTCCTTTTTTTGGATGCTCCCAGTATGTTTGCTCACAATTCATGCAGCCTCCTGCTGACTGGTATTCGTATCAGTCTGGCATCTTCCGTGTTTCGGCAAGTAAGCCCACTCGTTAAACGAGTTGAATACGGTGCGCAGCAACTTGGCGGCTTCTTGGCGATGCCAGGAGTTATTAGCGCGTGAACATTCTAAGATCCTGGGGACCATGAGACAATTGGTTTTGCATTTTCTTCTCGAACCACGTTTGCATTCTCAAGATTTAGCAAGTTTATATTTTCTGGCAGTGCAGTTTTAAGGAAATTGTAGAAATGGCGGTGTCGTTGATTCGAGCATCTGTTAGACCTTTGTTTGAACTGTAACAAGTTCATTCGAATCCCAATAGGTTAGAAGGGTCCTGATTATGCGACAAATACACTCATTTTCATATCATTTGTTTTTCACGAGAGACTCAAGTGAATCTCTCATCTATGATGTTTTTCCATTGAATGTGCTGCACACAGACCGCCTCATGTTTCAGTTGGTACGATATTCGAGATATCGCACATTCAGTCGAAGAAAATCATAAACGAGAGATTCACTTGAATCTCCCGTGAAAAGTAAATTGATTTGCAAATGAGTATATTTATCGCAATCAGTCCAATTCGGGTTCAAGTAGAACATAAGGTTGACAGAAACTCGGGGACTACGCCTACCTGATGGGCCCCAAGAAAGGTGGAAACGGTCGTGGGCTGTCGGAAAGTTTTCAGCAACCTTGTGAGTGGGTCCTGAGTCTGGTTGTAAATTTTAGTGCACGTGACATGTTGTCACGGATCGAAGAAATGATTCTGCGGAACACGTGATGTCAGTGCAGCTTGTTGCTCGTAGTGAAGTACTAATCATATCAAACCTTTTCTAATTTGGCAGTTCATTTATTCCTTGACAAGAAGTCGATAGTTTCCCGGCTAGCTTTCCGGGGTCGTTCTTTGGTGCTCAAGATATCTTGTTTGGTTGATTTTCTTTCTCACGTGAAAACCTAGACATCAAGTACCATCAACTCCAGCCCATAGCAGAAGATGTACCTGCCAGGACCTAACAAATGGCCTATTTGAAGGAGATTTATCAACTCAAGGATAAGAAGCGTATATTTAAGAGGCTCTCTATCACTTAGGCCTCCCTACAGACTTTGACTGTAGTGGTTGTGATAATACACACATGAAGTATGACTTATTGATTACTGACTCTCGCTTTGTATGTTGAGGTTATGCACGCCCTGGTCTTGCTTCGTGAGCTGGGAGCTTGAAAGTTTAGCTTCGTTGGGCTATGAACTGGTCTACTGTTTTAGCCACATCATAGGTAATAAAAGTTGTTCACGTTGTCAGCTGGTATACTTGAGGTGCATCGTCCGTCCCCCTATACCTACAGTTGACTTTCATAAGTGGCCAATTGTCCTGGCGGTATATACCGATGGTGATATCTAAAGCAGCGCAGGCTGACCTTCACAATTAATCACTTCGCAAGTGAAAGATATTGGCTGTGCACCGTTTGTACTTGAGAGCGTGAAGTTTTTACGAATCGGCAGTGCGTCCTTGGATTTACCATCCTGGTCCCGGCTATTGCATCTGATCCCACTTTGCTGTGGATGCCTCAGAAGTGAACAATTCGTCGAAGAACCCAAATGTCGTAACTGAGCTTAATTACACTATACTGTGACCCACTACACCTCACTTTAAACAAAAAATTTACCTACGGCCAGGTAGATGTTGAAAGAAGCAAATAGTGGAATAGTAATTAACGCGGTTAGCGTCCCAGGATTTGGTAAGGCAATAACCAGTTATTGATCACTGTCAGGTCGTGATGTCACGCCACGCCAGCAGTCGGGGTCTCTGTATTAAATAGCCTTTTGGGGGGAATTAAAATGAATGCCTATCACGTTGTTGCAGAACCAAATGACTAATCGATTGTAATGTTTTATCACAATGCTGATGCGAGGGCATACTAGAAAGATGCAGGGTTCAGGGTTTTTTCTGGGGCGTTCTATATAAAGCTGAAATTCCGAACCAGTATTTGAAATCGATTGATAAATCTGTACGTACTATGAAGACTTGTAATCATTTATATTCAGAAAATTTTTTAAAAAGTTGGGGTAAGGATGAAAAGCAGCCATTAGAATAAAGCAAGCAGATGAAATTTGCACAGCTTAGGAGTAGCTGAATCGATCGTGAGTGGCTAGATGTCCTGTGATTAGATCACAGCCGAACTGATTTACACGAAAAGTTGAGTGAAGAACTGATCGGGGATGGCAGACGTAGAAATGGTAGTAGAATTACAAAGTCGACACAATCTGTTGCTTTTCTCGCGCGTGACAAGGCTGAATGATGTCAGAGAAATGAAATGGCCTTCAGAAAAACGGCTAACTTAGAGAGATGTGACCAAACGCGTTGGTTGGTCGAAACCTGAGGTCTACGGTTTTTCGAGTTCTTTTCTAGACACCTTTTCGGTGCGTAGCTGCCATGCCACCCAAAGTAAGCACGAGGGCTGAGGTACTGCCAGGTTGCCCATACCTATACAGGGAAAGTCGAGAAGCAACCACGGACCTTCTGGTTAGTTAATTTGCTCTCTAACCACTGAGTCGTCCCGTTCTACATGATACAAAAAAGTTGAGATTTCACCCTGTAACTGAAGCCAATCTGTGCTGAAAAGCTGAGAAGCTGGCTCATCCTAACTGGGAATCATCAGCAGTGCACTGAATCGTTCGGCCACGAGCAGCTGTTCAGCAGTGTGATTACCTTGAATATGGCAACACTCATCCTTCGATCACGAAATCCACATCACGTGGACACGTACTGATTTGATCTTCGAGTGACAACTCCTTATATGGAAGTTCCACTTGTCCTGTGAAGTTATTCTCCCTCTATGCAACTTATAGATTGGTGATAGTGTGAGAAGATTCGATAGTTTTTTATCGATATTGCGTCACCTAAGTGGTGCTAATCAAATTGTCCCAGGAAGAGAAGACGTTTGTCTTGCAAAGTTCGTATCAAACAGGGCAATCAAATTGCCCCAGGAAGAGAAGACATTTGTCTTGCAAAGTTCGTATCAAACAGGGCACCCACGCGTACCGACCGAGTTAAACCGGAAGTAAACTTATGCGTGGACGTGTGCAACAGAAACGTAAGGATGTTTGGCTTCTTTGGTAGCTCACTGATTACGCACTGGGGCGCCGCCTGCCATTTTTTGCTTGTCAGCTGTTTGATGGCTCATTTGTTTTCCAGAAACTACTGTTTAGGGAGATTGTGCTATCAGAGTCAGCGGACAACTATTCTGAAGTCCCAAGCTTTATCCTAGGATTACTCCTTGGGCATAGTGCATAAGCGAGGCTTTAGATACAACTGAAGACTTGAAACAAAGGCCGAACTGAGATCTGTCCTTCTGTTCATTTCATACCCAATTCTCCACATTGTCCGGACTGTAACTGATCGTTGCTGATTTTGAAACTTCACTTGATAGCTGTAGTTGATCAGTCACCAGAGTAAGTCGTACGTGCATTTTGGGTTTAAAGGACGTCAGCTGGGAGTCTGCTGTGTGCTCACTCCAAGTAACTTTTCTCGACGTGGAGGATTTTACCAGTCAACGCGCCTAAAAGAGAACTTTTGTGCGCAAAAACGTTAAGGTTATGGCACAAGCGACGCTAACACACACACGGAGGGGGGGGGGTGTATTACTGATATCTGAATGGTAGTTGGAACAAGACAAACAAACAGCTACGTGAGCCGATCCCTCAAGAAAGTGTTCGAGACGCTTTTCGTACATCTAAATATAACGTGTTTTCCATGGGAAGGGGGCCACTTTTCGAGATGAATAATCTCGTACATTCCACCTTTTGTTTGCGCTTTGGATGGGCTTCTGGTCTGGGGGTAAACAGAACCAGGTTCAAACGTAACACATTAGTCATAGGGCCGATGGGAGGTCTTCAACAGTCCACGACCAGTCTCGCTATTTTTGAGGCTCTCATAGGGCCGGAGGTCTTCAACAGTCCACGACCAGTCTCGCTATTTTTGAGGCTCATCAGGTAGGCGCATTCTCCCAGTTTCCGTCAGCCAGCCGTTCTACTTCAAACCGAATTGCACCAAACTAGCGAATATACACACATC